TACTCACTTTGACCTTCAAGGAAAACAATTCAAGGTCAGGGATGGGTGTGGGCCACAGCTCGGTGGGTTCTCATGCCCTCAAGTACCATCTGTATGCAAAGGTACAGAAAGATGTACAAGCAAGTTCTGGAAAATAGACAGACCGTCAGTCTGTTGATTGTCATGTGTTTGCCCATTTGTTTGTCTCATGTCAAAGCATTTGTTAACTAGGGACAGGAGAGATGGCTCAGCGGTTAAGAGCACTGGCTGCTCTTCCAAAGGACCCAGATACAATTGTGAGCACGCACATGGCAGCTCACAAATGTCCGTAACTCCAGTTTCAGGGGATTCAACTCTTTCTTGTTTGGGGACCAGGTGCACACATAGGGGTGCAGTGGCTTTCTGGACAAAGCAAATGACATATTCTAAGAAATCATGTCATTCTTCAGTTTTGAGTTAAAAAAACATTAAGTCATTTTGCCATTTAATGATTTAAAATTGGATGCCATTCAGTTGCCCAACATTGCACTTTGAGCCATTGGGAAAGCTGGGTTCGTACCGTGAATGTCAATAGTGTTTATAGTTTGCAGTTCATAGACATCTCATTGACTCCTACACAAATGTCGTGGGGTAGCTGGAGTAAGGTGGCAGCAGTGGAAGATTCAGACCCGGAGGTCCACAGCAAGTGTGAGCTGTGCAACATCACGTGGAGACTGAGTCGCATTTCCAAAGTTCGGACTTCCTGGAGCTCCATCCACTCTCTTTCTGCAGCATGTCTGAACTACCCTGGGTTCCACAGAACTTTCTAGTATATCTGTCCTCTTAGGTGTGTGTGTGTGTGTGTGTGTGGTGTTAATGACTAGGCTAAATATTTACATCTGTTCTTTGTCCCACTAGCTGAGCACCTGTTCATAAAAAAGGCTCAATTGTGGAAAAAGTGTAACTGAGTTTCCTGGCAACAGGCAGCTGGGGTAGTTGGACTTTGGCATATTTTGGCATTGTACAGGTGCCCGTGGTGTGCCGTTTCATCATTACCTAATCGCGGTCATAAAATAAGGATGGTAGTTGGATCATAAAAAGTAACACTTGATTAAAGCGTATTTGGACAAAGTGATACCTCCATTTTGTCAGTGAGTCTTCCCTGGGTTTTTCAAGATGCACAGACCATCTGGGGAAGCATCCTTGCTCGCTTTAGGCAGAGTGCAATGACTTAAGGAAGTCCAGGCAGGGCCCTCACCTCCTGATCCATGCGCAATACTATAGGTTCCTAACAACTGTTTCTTACCCTGTCATTTGGATTTGAGTAAAAATATTGTAGAATTCAGCACAGATTCTCAAAATAAATCAATAAATCCTGGTGCCACATCTGCAGAGTTACAAATGCACAACCTTGTCCAAGATCAAATAACGAGACTGAGAATATTTGTAGAAAGAAACTCTTTTCTTTTTCTTTTTCTTTCTTTCTTTTTTCTTTCTTTGGTTTTTCGAGACAGGGTTTCTCTGTAGCTTTGGAGCCTGTCCTGGAACTCGCTCTTGTTGACCAGGCTGGCCTCGAACTCACAAAGGAAACTTTAATTCTTTAATTTTTAATATTTGAAAATGTCCAAATAGCTGCAGAATACGACTAGTTTATTGACTTCATTCTCCATAGCCCATGTATCATCATCACCACCATTTATGCCCTGGCAATGCTTGAGCCTGGGCAGCCCGTTTATGGTGGTTCTCCAGTTGTTCCTGTCCTGGGCAGCCCTAGATGCTTGTGTTACTGCCATACCCAGGTTCCACAGTCTTCCTTTATGCTGTCTACCCACCCACGTATAACCTACCCTTACTGTATACATGTTTTAGATTACCAAACTGATCTCTGTCATCCACTTTTACATTTTGATCATCCGAATACTTTCACATGACAGACACATCACCCTACTTGCAAGCTATTGATCTAATGAAGCTAATTAATACTTTTCTATACAAATTTAATTCAAGAATTAAACGAGCAACCATATTGAGTAACACACTCCAAGACATATTAAGAAATCCATTAGCTGCCATTTTGGCATATTTGGGACAACTTTTTATTCGTTACAAACTATAGAAAATTGATCTGTTTCTTATTTGTGTCCATGCTTGCTCATACAAATATTTTCATCTTTAATGATTCTCTTTAGGATATACGATCATTTTGTCCCATGAAAATCTCTAATTGATACAATAAACATCAATTTTTTTTCAAAGGTGAATTTGATCGTTCTGTGTATTCCCCAGATATTGTCCTTCTTTTTTCTCTGGTCTGAAGTTCCCTAAACACATGGGTACCCCTAGAATTCTCGAGGATGAAGGGTTTGAGGCTTTTATTTGTGTCTGGCGGCAGAATGAACTCTTTTTGCGAAGTGGATTTTTGTAGTTGCTAAACTTTAGCGCACCACACTCCGCCCCATGGCGGGCGGACACCCTGAGCCTTTCTCTTCCTCCCAGACAACGTCTAGATACAGCAAAAGAAACCAGCGTTCAGGAGGTAGGAGGGCCCAGAACATCATCTTAGCCTCGGAGCTCCAGTGTTACCCTCCTTCAAAATGACCTTCATCCTAATTAATGTGGCCTGCATCTTGCTAATCCAAACAGCAGCAGACATGCTAAGTCCCATAGGAGCTCCTGTCCCATACCTAAATGACACATCTGACAGACAGTAAGGGGACCAGATGCTCTGGTTTGCTTGGGATGCGTCCACTGTGGCCTGTTGTAGAGGTGCCCTTATTCCATAAGTGTTGTAGCTTAGATGACAAATTGTATTACATATAATTTAACAGACTGACTGTGAAAAAGCACGTGGTTATACTATGGTTCATGGGTCACTCAGCAGTCCTTTGGAGTAGAAATTTGGTACAACATATTCATCAAATCAAAACCTTTGTAGTCTTCAGATGAGGCCTCTTTCTCCCACGAGTGGCCCCAGGACACTGTTATTAACAAAGGTCGTGGTCATTTAATATCTGCACTGTTCAGAACACCATTACTCAGAACAGAGATCACCTCCAGATCCTCTGGTCCAAACCTTCCTTTTGTGGATGAAGACTTAATTATAATCTTGTGGAACTGTGTGTCATCTTACACGATTCTGAACTGTTCCGTGAGCATCGCCACTACCGGTCACCGCTCCTTGCCTGTCGGCTCCGCTGAGTCTCTGGACATACTTTACTTGAAGAGAAGAGAATCAAATTTCAAATAAGTTAAAGGACATAGCCAAGGTCCTCTGAGGACTGTGGAGAGTTTAAAATGGAATCCATCTCTGGCTCCCTGCCCGTGTCCTGCCCATCACTCCACACTGGTTAATCTTTTCATCCAGTAAGGAGGATTTAAAATGCAACTTCCACAATGTACCCAACCCAGATGCACGAGCATTCTGTCTGTAAAGAATGCTACATACCCTAAAGTCCCTAGCTTCTGCTTTGTTCTAACTGCCACAAACCCTTATGGGTGACTAAACTGTCCCTGTGTGATAGTGCCACTTGGTGGCATGCTAAGAGAGTGGGGCACAAAACTGCAACCTGTGCCCGTCTTTTGGATGAGGAGGAAAGGAAAATGCAGGCACCTGCCCCCCCCATCGCCTGCTGGTAGCAGTAACAGTGTAATTAACCATGTCTTAGATAACCTGTGTCCACTCTCTTCTTCCCTGTCCCTCCCTATTCCATTCACGTCACAGGGACAGCTTTAATGACACAAAAGATCTGACCATGCCTTAGGACCTTTTCTAGTTTCGGGCATAATCAGAATTGTGCTATAAGCCCCCAAATCTTCAAGAGTTTCTTGCAAGTTCCATGAACATCTACACCAAAACCTCATTTCCCAAGCCAGTTTTTAATTAAAATCGTCTTAAGAAAAACGTTTGCTTTCCAAATAAGCAAATGGCTTCACTGGGCTATTTCAGCAGGATAATTTCCTCTGATAGTAACAATCATACAGCGTTTTAGCTGTGTTCTCTGCTGTGAGCTAGCCTGGGAGTCTATCTAAGTTCATAATCTTTCTGGGGAAGACTCCTTTGAGCTCGTGAACCTCATTATAAAAGGCAGATTGTTTACTCACGCAGGTCTTCCTCTCTTGTCCATTTATCTCCAAAGAGATTGGGTCGAACTCATTACTCATTTTGCAGCTTGCTCAGAGGAGCCTAAAGCTTTATTCTGGTCTTTCACTGTTCCCGGTGCTTCATATGCAAGACCGGAACAGTTAGGCAGGCGGGAGGCTTTCAGTGAAAAGAGTCCGGTGCCTGTGAGAAGAATTGGATGTTAAGGGTCAACTAAATGGTTGACTCATGGCTGGAAGTCGTTCCCAGACACCCGCCCCTCTGGTGGTTTTGTTTTCTTATCTTCCCGTTTTCCAAAGAGGCTATAGAAAAATCTAAACCATTGCAACCTGCTTCAGGAACTTCCTGGATCGATTCAATGCAAATGTACGATGTAGGGATGGACTGGTAGCAACAGCTACTAAGCCCTTGTTGCTCTCCCCAAAGGTAAGCGATCCACTCCATTCTGTTGAATGCCGCAATGCCTTCTCATTTGTATGGCACATTCGCCACCAGTGTCCTCTCTCGGCTACATCTGCACCAGCGAAAGAGGAGCATGTGCAGCAGGAGAGCCAGCCTAGTTGGTGGTGTGAGCTGCTCTTCCTGACTCCTCCAATGGGCTGGGTCATGCCACAGGCACATGGGGCATCGCCTCACTTGTGACCCTGCGGCATCACTTAGTCCTGTTTTCTCTTACACACAGCAAGGGTCATCTGTTCACTCGGCTACTCAGCACAGCGGAAATACGGCGTGGGAGTTAAGAATGTGGGTGGAGAAATCGGGCTTTCTGGGTTTGAGGAAATATGGTGTGGTGGTAAAGGGCATGAATGGAGAAGTCAGTTTTTCTGCATTTGAGGCTCCATTCTGCCCCCTAAAACCTTGAGATCTGAAGCGTCTCCCTCCACTTCCAACCTTGCCGTAGAATTGTTGGAATTAAGATGCGCGTCACCCTATCCACCTCCCTGGCCTCCTCTTCCATCCTATGAATATAGTCTCATGGATGAAAGGGAAGAAAGAGAAAGCAAGGAAATGGTGGCGAGGAAGGAGCAGAAATTCACTCTCTTATGCGGGAGGACCAACAAGGAAGCACAAAGCAATGTGCGCTGCGCAGAAGGCTCACTGCAGATGAGAGCCCCACCCCACCCGTCAGTTTCCAGATCTCCCACCAACATCCTCTCACAATGAGGCTTCATCCACAACATTGGACTTATAAAGAACAGTTCCAATGTCCACCATTGGGCTTTCCCAGTCCATGAAGATTAAAAGGGAGAGATTGTAACCCAGAAAAGTCAGGCACAAACGGTTCTTTCCAGGTGTCCGGCCAGGAGATCCTCAGTTCTCATGCATTTAAGAACAGCAGCATATCACACAAGAAATACTGTATTGTTGTGAGTAAGTGCTTTGAACACAGCATGGGAGGGTAAGGTGTGCACCGCTCTAGCGTATCTCCTTGTAGCAGTGAGCAAAGTGAGCTCTCTAATGCTTAGCATATGAGATGTCAGGATATTTGATGGGTTTTATTTTCCTATATTAACTCAAATTTCATTTTGAAATGTGTGTGCGTACATTTGCACGTCTGTGTATGCACATTTTCATGTGTGAGCACAAGTGTGTGTGTGCATACATGTGTGCATGTGCGTGCCTGTGTGCGTGTGTGTGCAGTGTACATACACACATGTGGGGATCAGAGGACAATCTTGGGTTTCATTCTTCAGGTGCTTCCCATTTTCTTTGAGACAGTGTTTCTCACAGGCCTGGAACTTCACCAAGTAAATTAGAAGAGCTAGCCAGCAATCTTAGCAGGGATCTGTGTGTCTCCTCCTCCCATCTTGTTGTTGTTAGGATCATAAATGTTTGCCACCACATCTGACTATTTACATGGGTTCTGGGGATTTGAACTCAGGCCCTCAGACTTGGCAGCAAGCACTTTTCCAACAGAGCCATCTTGCCGTTTTGTCCTTAATTCTGTTACATTTCTTAGGGCAGCAGGATTTCTAAGGCAAGAAGAGAGAGAGCAAACGTAGGGAGAAATATTGGGAACAGCGAACGGAATCAAAAGCAGCACAGGGCCTTTATGAAAGCTCAGAAAATGCAGAACTAAAAAGAAAAGGCAACGCTTCATATTTTTAAGACCCGGATTACTCCTTGATGGATGCCCAATTCTGCAGCAGGGTCAAAATATCAGAACCCCAGCATGATGTCACCTCTACCAGGCAAACCTTGCAGGAATGAGGCTCGTGGTTGTGGGTGCCCATGTGTGACTCAGTTTCCATCTGGAGTCCATTCTGACTTATAAGTCTTTTGAGTTCAAGTTTGCCTGCTTTGTTTTTTCCTATAACCTTGAGGACTGTGAGAGACTTCTGATTTAGCCCGTGAGAAAAGAACACTCTATCTAGTAGACTGTATACTGCTGACGACAAACCTCAGGAACATCAAGATAGAAAGTGAGGCTGCTTCCGAGCAGCAAGCACATGTTGGAGAGGAGGCTGCTCGCTCAAGGACAGGGATGGTCTCGTGGCTAGATACTGATTGACCGTCTGTGCCATACTTTATCCTGCTTTTGTATATATGTAAGTTCCGAAATAAACTCTGGACTGTGTGGCTGCTTGGTTTGACCAGTCGGCCGCCGGGCAGACCTCCGGATTCTATCCTGTCTTCTGTCTCAGCTTCTTTCACCTGACTTGCCTTTGGCTTCGAGGATCCCGAGCGAGTCAACCCTCGCTGACTTTGTAAGAGCGGGCTCCTACACTTGGTCTGGTTGCTGGCAACCAGTTGGTATAGCATGGATTCGGGTGAAGTGGGCATTTCAATCTTTTAGTCTTGAGTCATACGAAGCATGATTCGCAATAGTATGCATGCATGCATGCCTGTCAGTGTGAATTGGTGGCTCTGGCTGTGCTGTCACTGTCAACTGGTTAAACATACATACATGAATATACTTACAGAGCATACTTCAGCTTCTTCACCTGTCACATGGTGTCGGGACAAGGCTTTAACGGGGTATATTCCATCACCGCTGTTGACTAATGTCAAGAAAAACACAAGGAGTTTTGAAAGAGAAGCATAGAAGTCCACATGGATGTCATCCCAGAAGCTGAGGGAGCAAGATTAGGTCGACCACAGCAGGTCAGCAATGGCCCAGGCCACTTTGGCAAGGATCTTCAGTCCTCACCACACTAATTCTTCCCCCAAGGTGAAGATGGATGATTAAGTCAAAGACTCAAATGGGTGCTGCAGCGAAAGCCTGGGGCTTGTGACAGCCAGACAGCATAAGGAGAACATATTTGGAGGCATGAACCAACCGTGATGCTTATGAAATCAGAAGCTGCCCTTTCTCCTTCCTGCAGCTAAAACAAAAGAGGGAGTTTTCAGCCCTCCCCTGACCCTGCAGACAAGTTAGTAAACATTTCTTGATTGTAGAACATGACCGATTCCATTGTGGTTTCAAAAAGAGCGTTTTGAAAGAAACTAAAATGCCAAAGAAAAGCCAGAACTCAGCACACAGTCATATAAATACACCATAGTGTCTACAGCTCAGCACATGGTGATCACTGTACTCCATACAGATACACCACACAGTGTCCACAGCTCA